CCGCGCTCAATACTAATATGACTAATATTAAAATAGATGGTATCTTCTCAGAAGCGGAGAGTGCGAAATTTTATGAAACTAGACCCACATTTTAGGCTGTTCATAATAAATTTACCGACCCATGTATCATTCAATTTCTTCCTCAACTTTTAATCTAAAATCACTCAAGAAGAATACTCATGGCACTATGATTTTAACATGAGCTATCTGCAAAAAGTTTGGCGTTCGTGAAGAATTTCTCATCACGATCAAACTTGAAATAACAGAAAGTCAGTGTGCATTGGCTCGGAATTTATTTACTTTAAGCACTCAAGGCTTTCAAACATCAACAATAAGATTTCCAAGAGATGCAGTAGATAGAAAATGATTTTGTTGAACTATACAGCACTAGCAAGAAATTTAGAGTAGTTTCGAAATATCTGACGGCTGGTAATAGAAAAGTTTTGCAAACTTATACTTGGTAATATTTTTAATTATTTATTTGATAATTGATTCATCAATTACGTCAGTTTAAATAAAACAAAAAACTATTTCAAATAGCATGAAATAATACATCAGATCGCGTTTTTTTTTCTAATAAAATTTTCAAAATTTTTCGTGAATTTTTACACAATGAATATATCAAATTTAATTCAAATAACTCCAATTCTATTCAGAAGAATTACAGCTCTTTGTAGAAATCATAATGCGGTAAAATTAATTACAGCAAAACCGGCTTCAATATCACACATGTATCCTTTCCCGAATAGGAGAACTCTATTGTCAGGCATAAATTTTTATCAACGATTTAACCAAATTCGGGGCTTTAAATTTCTGGATGAAGCTCGTGATATCAAGCATAGAGAGGTGAGATAAAAAAAATTGATAGTTGTTTCAGATTTAAATAAACATGGTTTTATTCATCTGTCATGATATATAATTAATATTTTATGTATTTATTATATTATTTTTTATCAGGTTATTATTGGAGACAGTGCAATGCTCGGAAACGAATTATCCGATGATGAATCTCCAGCTTTTGATGCAAAAAGCGAAAGTAGCCGTCTCCAACGTTTAGACGATATTCTTGATGAAGAATTTGAAGACATTGATAATGTTGAAATTAAAAAAGAAGTTAAGCAAGAGAACAAACAAAGGTCTACATGGGAATAATTCTTCCACCGACATTCTAACCGAAAATAAAAAATAGGTTAAGAGTAAAAAAAATACTTGAAAAAATGTATAAGTAGTCTGTATTATGTTGTAAACATTTTTTCATTATATAGATTTTCTTGAAATGTTTCCCTGTGTCAAATTACTACTACAATTAGTTATATCAAGTTTATCAAATGTTTGACTTTGTGTCGCAAACGATTGATGCCGTAAGTCGTAAGGGCCTCGAAGAGAACGACAAAATGAGTTTCCGAGTTTGTAATTAAAAACTTTTATTTCTATACAAGTATAGAGAATCATTGTTATTGCTGCAAAGTATAAAGTGAACTTTGAAAGATAAAGCGACGCTTCTAGAATATATTCTCGTTTCCTCGCAGTTAAAACAACCAAACTAAAACTATGATTCTTTGCCCTTTCAGAGACAAAGGAAAAGGTTCTGACGTAGAAAATTTCTAACTTCGGGAAACTAATACTAATCTTTTGTTTGAACTCGTTGTTTGAATAAAATTTAATTTCATCATATGCATAATGATATGTGATATACCGATATACAGTCTGTTTTATATGTAGAATATGACAATTAAAATATAATTTTGGTGATTTATTACTTAAAGCTTATATAAAATATCATGATCTAGTTATGTGGTTTCACTTGTTAAATTAGTTGATGACTGAATATATAATTTAGTTCATAAAATGCAAAGTTGTATATATTTATTTTTCATGCAAATTAACCTGACATATTTGTTTTATAAAATTAGTATACGGGGTAGGGAGTGGTTTAAAGATCCGGAGGTAAAAAAGGCAACACCAAGAAAAATCCTAAAAAAACAAGAAAAGCATAGTACTTTTTAAAGATACTATTTTAAACTTGTAGGAAAAAATGTATAACCAGCCATCATCTTAATATCTACGATGTCGGTGTTAGAATTTCAAAATTCATTACAAATGTTTATTGTTAGTTGGTAGGTTTATGGGTTTGAGCTATCATTTAGTTCATGATACTTGTTTTATAAAAAGAATTGCCATTTTTAAATTAGATTCAACCGTTTTTTAAATAACTTCTAAAATAACTTACATTTGGTTAAGGTTACAAGGTGTAAATAATGAGAAAATAAAAAAGAGCAATATCTAAAAATGTTAATTTTACTAGAGAAAATTTAAATTTAAATTTAAGTTTCATACAAATCTTGTACGGAGTATGATCTTTGTAAAAAATGAACCCATGAAATATGTAAATTCACATAGAAGTTGTATCTACCTCACAAGTATTCAAAAAAGTACCTCATAAAAATCACGTGGGGAAAAGGGTCTAGTAAGATATCATGTGCATTTATTTTTTACTTAAATTTTCAAAAAAGAAACAAAAATTTTACTAAATTTTAATTTTTTTGTAAATTTGAAAAGTTTGTAAGAAAAATTGTACGTGACTAAAAATGCACGCAATGTTTGGTGGTAGAGCGAGGGGAAATTCGAAATATCACTAAAAATCTCTTAAAAAATTGATCACGTAATTAATGGACGCCCCCTGAATTGAACAGGATTATCTACCGTAAGTGTCTTCTGACGCAATGTATAAGTCAAATGTAAATAAGACAAAATTTTGAGAGGAGATGCAAGTAATAATGTAATCACATGTTTTAAAAATTTTTACTTTTATTTTATTTGGTGTTACCCTTCAAGGAATTAATCACATACTGTAGAATGCGCTTAGTATGACATCGAAGGGATGCCGAAAACTCGTCATACTAAGTGATCTTCATACAAAGCGTACTGAAACAAAACTATTTTATTTAAATATGTTACGCATTTCAGTAATTTAATAGAAAAGTATATACGTACATTTAATTAAAAATAAAAATGACACATATTACGTGGGCGGGGCACAAAGGTCCAATTTGGGTAACACTATATAATTTTTAAAAAATAATTAATCCTCCACAACCGCAGCCTCAATTTAAACGCAATGACTGTCAATTTCCTTACCCCTGTATAATTATTCCCAGTTGTTGCGTAGTGTACTATTACAAAACAAAGAGACCCGGTCGTCCGGGTCGGCGTGTCTATGCAATAAATATGCGCCATTTCATGGTCTGACCATCCTAATATGTTTACGTTGTTCGCCAGAGTAATAGTTAATCCGCGCGCGCTCGGTGTACACCGCGGACGGACACACGGACGCACGGACAATAATCCGGCACTAAATGGGCCGGTCATGCTTTACGGAGATCCCTTGAGCGCCGTACGGAAGCAAATGGAGATAGAAGTATTTTTACAACAGAATACACGGCGATAATTTTATTAGCGGTTACATAGTTACATGGTGTAATTTAATTTTCTCACCAAAATATAAAAACAGGCCGTTTATGTAATTAGTTTTGCATAATTCAAAATCTTTAGCGCATCATGACTAATGGTACCCTTTTCGGGTATAACGAGGAGCTCAGCGCGTTGGAACAATGATTACAATAATTGTTGATCAAAATTTGGATAACAGCATTTTTTTTTCAATTTTAGGTAACATTCATGTAAAAATAAAAAATAAATTCTTTTCAGAAGTTAAAAAATTTCGCTCATATATCAAGGGTGTCTCAGAACGGGGTGATAGCATTGACAGTATCTAATAGATACTATCTATCATAAAAAAATATTCCATGCAGTGTGTAATTATGAGCTTTTAAGAACACCCTAGAGCTTTGATCAAACTGTCGGTTATTGTGGTCGATTTTTATTATTTTTGTTCATTTCAACTTCGCATCCATAACCGTAAATTATATTTCTTGGACCATAGTCAAAAACAATAGCTTAATTGCATCCAATTGTCTTGAATTAAGACTATTAGTTAAACTGAACATAATATTCAAAACTAGCAAAAAAAAATTATTTTATTGTGATGCTTTCAAGTACTTTACCATTTTACAATCATGTCTAAATGTGTGAATTTTTGCTGGAATTTGCCAACGAACTTTAGTAAGTAATTTTTTTTAAAGGAAGGCCTTAACTGAGTTTTAAATAACGTTTCTAAGACCACAGTGAAACACAATGGCACAATTGCATCAAGTTGTCTGGAATTAAGACTAATTGTTAAACTGAACAAAATATTCAAAACTAGCAAAAATCTTTTGTTTATTGTGAAGCTATAAATTACTTTAACATTTTACTATTAAGACTGATTGTATGAACTTTTGTTAGAACTTGCCGACGTACTTTAGTGGGTACATTTTTTTATAGAAATGCCTTTCAAAATCAGTTTAAAATAACATTTCTAGGACCACAGTAAAACACAATGACATAATTGCAACAAGTTGTCTAGAATTAAAACTATTTGTAAAAACTATCAAAACTAGTTTTACAATTATGATTAAATGAGTGAACTTTTGAATTTTGATGCAACTTGCCAATGTACTTTACTAGGTACATTTTTTTTCAAAGAAGGGTCTTTCAAACTCATTTAGGTAAATTTATTTTAATAAGTATTTAGGTAAATTTTCATCAATTTTCCACTTAACTTGGAGCTATTGTGTCATTATTTTCCACTATGATTCTAGAAATGTTATTTATAGTTAATGTCTCAAAGTTTATATAAACAAAAATAATAAATATTGACAATTATAACCGAAAAATGATGACTCTTTTACCAAAGCTCTAACTGTGCTTAAAAGCTCATAATTTTTAAATTATACGGGATAATGTTTCAAGATTGAATTCCATAAAATAAATTTCTAATCATAATTATCCCTATCATTCTCGTCAAAACTTCATTTATATCCATTACAATTAATTACCTGAATTTTGCTCTTTGGCGTAAAACTATCATGTTTGTTAAAATTTATTTTATAGCTAGTTACCTGAATCTCGCTCTTCGGCATAGAACTAGTTTGTGTGACTGCATTCGGGCATCGATCACTGAATTTAGTAAGTGCATCTCCGTATAGAGCAAAAGATCCTGCTGCTCCTGGCGGAGGAAGTCCGACGCCTCCGATGCCATCCTCTACCAGGCCTTCCTGCTCGGCGACAAGAAGAAAGCCGCTGAATTTATGAGGGACGTGGAGCGAGTGCGAACCTTGCAAACTCACTGAAAAAAAATAAATTATTCAGTAAATTAAATAACGTATACTTGAATATTATATCGGGTATCGTAAATAATAACACTGCTCAAAACAAAATAAAAACTTTTGTTAGACGATGGTCCAATTTAACCCGATACATGCTATATGTGTTTCTTCTCTCTATAAGCAAAATTTATTACAAGCATCATTTTTAATATCACGTTCTTTCTTTCATGTTTTCTATCACAAAACTTTATAAAGTTCAGGTATTTAATATCACAAAGCGATCATTATTGTTGCTATGCTGTAACTACGTTCGATAATCAATATTGAAAGCGTTCTTTTACTTTCTGACAGACTTCTTATTTACAAAATAAAACAAAGGATCAGAGCGAAGCTTTCAAACAATAATATCCTTTTGAAGAGGCTCAGGTAAGAGCTCACCTCTTCGGGCGCTTTTTAATCAAGTTCGCGCAAAGGAATGATGTAATAAAATCAATTTGGAGTAACGTTTAAGAAACCTTACATACAATAAAATAACAATAAAAGCTTCACGTTTATTATCAACGCAGGGGAAAATACTTATTTCTCTTATATACCCCTTAAATACTCACCCGAGATACCTATATTTTATATACATATAAACTCAGCTAAATAGAATCACTGTAAACAAACTTTTATAATATTAATAAACAATATTTATAAAATATATATATATATAATTTGTTATGCTAAATGACATTTTATAAAGATTATTTCATTTTTTTTTTAATTTCAATAATTATTACAACTGTTAAATAATTAAATGTAGCAATTGATAAATAATAACATAAATTTAAATAAATAAGAGTGCAAAGGATAGATTTACATGAAAATAATATCTGTAATATGATGATTAATATAAAATAGAAGCAAATAGAAGTCCTTGCATTCATATTAGCATTATATTATGAAACATAAATTTAAATAAATAAGAGTGCAAAGGATAGAATTTACATGAAAATAATATCCGTAATTTGATGATTAATATAAAATAGAAGCAAATAGAAGTTCTTGCATTCATATTAGCATTATATTATCAGCATATAACTGATGAATGATTAAAAAATTTATTAAAAATCTTATACCTAGTATTGAGAAAACTTAATAATTTTGCATTAAAAAGTAAGCAATTAATTTGATAATATAAAACCTGACCTAAATATTTTTCCCAATTCCTTTACATCATTTGAAAATATATTTCTTTTTCCTTGAATATATGTATATTAAAATATTTGAGATCAAAGTGTTATTCATAGGCAGGGACACCAAACATATATACTTGTATTATTCTCATCGCATGCATTATGTAAGAGGAGAATATTTCGTATGCAAATGTCGAATAAAGTAAAAGAAAATTTGTCAAAAATAACCATATTCTCCACAAACGGAAAAGGAATTGAATAGAAAAACTTACAGGGGATGGAAATAAAATATACAATGAAAAAATACAAAATAAAAGAAAACATTACTATTTTAAAAATGTGAGAAGGTCAAGAATCCATTACTACCATAGCTTTTAATATCTACCAATGTAAAAGGTTTCTTCTGTCCTAAGTTCAAGAACATTTTCTAAATGAATCGGAACATTTGACATCACAAATGATTTAATATCGATGTTCGTTCAATCGAGAACTAAACAATAAATCATCGAACAACATCTGCCCTGTAAGAAGTTCGAAAGAAAGATTTATCAGGTCGAGGCGCCCCAGATATTTTCTGCAGAACAAAACAACACGTCAACATAGAAACCGGAACGCGGGTAAAACGAAATCGCAATTATTTCCAGGTTAACAAATGTTTGTTGAACAACGTTTTAGTGATAAAGCACAGGTTCTCAACGGTACCTACAGCCAAAAATATTATAATAAAAATCATAGTTTGAATGAAATAAATGGATCTAATCTGTTAGAAGTTCTACAAATCTCAGATTCCATAATTATTAATTTCCGAGAGGAGAAGTTTATATTTTTGCCACAAAATTTCTAATTTTATATCTTCTCATTTTATTTAATTCTGAATCGTTTGACATGATTGAATAAAATATGTTTGTGTGTAAGTAAATCAACATTTGAGTTTTCGTCAACGTTATTTCTAACTTATTTATTTATTTATTATACATATATATATATAATAATATATAAATATATTAATTTATTATATATATTATTATTTATATATATATATATATATATGTGTAAATAAGCCGAAGCTAAAACAGAATCACTGTACTCAAACTTCTATAATTTTGTTGCAATAAATGATATTTTATGAGTATTATTTTAAATTTTGTATAATGAAGTCCTTGCTCTCATATAAGGAAAAGCATTGAAGTATCAACATTTAACTGATGATTGATTAGAAAATATTGCTAAAAATCAACCTATTTACCTAATTTTGATAAAACTTAAAAATGTTGCATCAAAAAATAAACAGTTAAACTTGAATTTGCTAAACCAAATATCCTGTAAAATAAAATATTTTTGCAAGATCAGCTACGCCTTTTCTTAATATATAATATTATAATAATCACCAAAATTTGTTCATATTAAGTTAAAAATGTGTTTAAAAGATTTCAGCCAAGTCATTTCCAAACAAATATTTGGAACCGATTTAAATAATAGAAAAATATTTGTAAGATTAGTTGAGAATCGTGTTGATCAGTTTTTCGTAAAAATCTAGGGTTAGTTTTAAAGTAAATAATCGTTAAGAAACAAGTTGTTTGATGATTTTTATGTTACGCTGTTAGATGATATATATAGCCTTGACAAACATCCAAAAATATTGAAAAAGTGGTTGATTTATAAAAATTCATCAAAACTTGGAATAGTGCGTCGTGCGCCAAAATTCCAACATTCTATTGTTACAATTTTAAAAGTAGTGAAATTTAAATTCTTATTGATTAAGTTGATTATTTATAACTCTCGGTGACCTATAAATTTTTGAACCTGGAAATAAGTCAAAATTTCACTTACACCTTACATCATAAAATTATAGATATAAATTTAGCAGTTCTTGGGTAAATCTAAACCTGCTCCTGATTAAAAATTAAAACTGAAATAAATCTATAGAAAATGATAAAACGTCAATTTACGGCAAACAATCTGTTTCCATACACACACACATACACACACATAGTACACACACATACATACCTACACACATACTTTTTCCAAATTTGGTCTCATTCGATTCAGAAACGTGGAGAAAATATAAAATTAGCGAATCAAATTTTTTTATGAAAACAAAAACTTCTTCGGGAAGTTAATAATAATTCTACATATTGTTTGTAATAGTACTTGTGGAGTTTATTACATGTAAATAAGCTCTACAAGTCGAGAAAACTGTTTTGAAAGTATGTACTGTGAAAATGTCAGCTATACTTTACTTTTTATTTTGACGGTTCAATAAGATATGCTTATTGAATATAAGAATATATATATATATTATATATATATATATATATATATTGGGTTTCCCAGACCTTGACGTCATTAAGGTATTGGACCTTAATTGGTCTGTAAAAAATTAGAAAAAATAATATCTCAAGTTATTTCAAAGTAACGAGCTTTTAAGTGCAATCAAGAGCTTTGGTGAAATTATGACCATTTATTGTGATAAATTTCTATTAATTCTGTTCATTTAAACATTAAAACGTTTTAAAACATTTTAAACTATAATATTTAAATTAAATTGCAAATTCATATACAAATTTACATCCCACCAGTAACAATATTTAATATAATAATTTATAATTATGTAAAGTATTTCCAAAAATGATTGACTACCTTTGTTACACACGAATTCGAAGAAAATCGAATGAGTCGAACGCGTGTCTTCGACAGGCGCCCCCGGTGCGATGCCGATAAATCGACTCAGGGGAGACGGGAGCTTTTGCAATTATTTCTAAAGACATATTGCAAGAAAGTGAACTGAAACGTGCCCATGTAGCTAGAATACTGTGTTATTTATTGATCTTCAAATATTTCAAAAGGAGGAGGAGGAAATGGGATATTTAAATTTTGACTGGGATACACGATACGTTACAGGAGCTGCTATGGAATTTAGTAATAGGAAGACATGGTTTTCTATGCGAATAATATATAATGGATCTAGTTTTCTATGCAAATTAGGTATAAATAATCATAAGCAAGTTTTTGTTAAAACTAAATATAAAGATTGTATTTTGCTGTAGGGAATGCAATACCGATGGAAAATTTCAATACCGGTATTTCGGTTATTTTTCATTTTAAAACCGGAATACCGGTAAATTACCGGTATTTTTATTACCTTAAACAAACGTAAACAAAATTCAAAGTTACTAGTACAATATAAAAATGTATATACCACTACAACTATATTCAACTGAACAATAAAATAAAACAATAAGTATATTTAATAATTTAATAATTTAACAAAAGCATATGCAGTTTAATCAATTCAATATCACTATAAAACTAACTTATGAGTACTAAAAACAAACTTATGAGCAAGAAAGACCAAAAACTCATAAAAGGTCATATTACATTATTATAATAAACTGTATTTTCTGTATCCGATGTGTTAAATTAGCATAATCTCCAATATTTTGAAAAAATAATTTCTCTACACTAATTTAAGATCGGATTCCTTATCGAGATAAATAATAAGTTATTATAATTGTTGAGTATTGTTATTTAAAACAATGTGATGCTTTCTATAGTATTTAGTATTGATCATAATTATTATATATAAAGTTAGAAAAAAATAAAGATTACGCAAGAGTAATCTGTGTGATATAAAATATTTTGGCGCAAATATCACTTAAAAAACCGTTACATTTTTACAAACATCATTATCTATCAGTCTATTTATTGTACCACGATATGAAGCTCTTTGGAAAGCAATAAATAGTCAGTTTAATGACGAGTGAGATAATATTTGACATTTGTTTATCTTATAGAATCACTTGAAGATATAGCTGTTTTGCGATTATGGAAATTAAAGATAAATTTGTTCAGAAAAACTTAAACTTTAGGGTATTATGTATTAAATAGCGCTTATGTAAAAATACTGAAAACACCGATATTTTTGGAATAAATATCGGTAAAAATACCGCCGAACAATCGGGCGGTTTACCGGTAATTCGGTATACCGGTATACCGGTATTGCATTCCTTATTTTGCAGCATACGCCTTTAGTTTGCTACAAAAGTTTCTTCTCTATTCAGAAGTGTATCTTAATTTAATAAATTATTATCCTTATCTCCTTATTCCATAATAGCCCTTTAAACAGCTTCTAAATAACATTGTTGATTTACACTTCACTAAATCGCCTTCTCCTTTCCGAGATATCTTGGCCGAAACGATTTATTTCCCTTTTTCCTAATTATTTTCTTGCGCCACAGGCATCCATGTGCTCGGGCGATTTAGAAGAAACAACTTAACGGCGGCCAGGAGTGATAAGAGAACTGGCTTCGAAAAACATTGCAGGAAGAAAGATGCTTAGGGAAAATGGAGAGAAAAAAAAACAACAGGCCGTCTGATAAATAGTTGTGCGACACGAATCCAGAGTGAGAATATACGGGTAAAATTCCAGGGAAAATACAAACAGAGGAGTGCTTAAATATATAGCTCTAAGGAAAATGGGCGGGAGAAAATTCATTGTTTCAAAATACCGATCGAAACAAAAGGATATTGAGTGGGTGCGAAATACGAAGATCACATGGTGGTGATAATTATCAAAATTTTAATCAAAAGCACACATCACAACATGCTTGTGTATGCTGCAATCCGGCAGAACTTATATAAAATAAATGATTTTATCGTCTGATCAAAGCAGGGCATAAAGTTCTGCGAGCAAAAAAATTTGTACATAATATGCATAATAAAAAATAGAAAGCAAGAAATATGTGTCAGCTTTCACCTTAGTGCGACATCGCCATCAAGAGATAAACGGCCATGTATCAATATTTTTAACAAAAGTATTTTTCGTTTGAAGTTTATTTTGGATTTGAGCTCTGTTATTTAGTTTATAATACCCGAATATGTTTTTCTAAGTTTACGTTATTCAATGTTTCTTAAAATGTACTACACACTGGCAAAATAACAAAAGTTATTTATTATGTGTTAGGAACAATTTCTGATTCAATTAAAAAAACTGAATCAAACAAAAGACTCTTTCGAATATGATGCAAC